AGTTCGAGGCTGGAGTTGTTGATAGGGAAGATCCAGGCCCACAAGGAACCGTCTCAGGAAGACCAACAGAAATCCAAAGGTACGAGATCGAATATCAGAATTTATACAAGAAGGGGTCAATTCTAGATCGTGTATCGATTTTATGAATGTTTCATACAAAATGATAGCGTTTTGGGTATGTTCTCATTTTCTATCCATGAATGGTTTGGATAAATCAACGCTAAACCTGTTATTGAATTTTTCAATATTTGTTTTATTGTTTTACTTGAATATAATTGCAACTAAATTGGTTTGTCATGAAAGAAGTGATTTTAAAGTTAAAAAAAAAAAAGAAAATATTCGTGGGATACAGTTAAAAGATAATGCCGTCGAATCAATGTATTTAAAAACGATCGATTTTGTTGACCCACAATCGTTATAAACTGTCCCTTGCCAATAATCTGAACTTCGAACTATTAATTCGATACAGAAACTGAAACGACAAACGCGTTATTTATCACATGGTATCATTCTTTATTTCGCATAAGTGAATTGCAGGATTCATGCGTCTCCTTTTCACTTTCAATCTGATCTGATAATTGATAGTTAACTCGTTCGCTGCCGAGGGCCACTTACGATGACGCGCCACCGTCGACTGTGTGTAATAAAATTTTTACTCGACGATCGTGCCTGCGCAATAAACTTATTTCGTCAAAGTGTGTAAGCTCGCATAAAACTGTTGCAATTGGTAAAAAATCTTCTTTAGTTGGGGATCAATAGGGATCACTTCAATCGAGTAATGCTTTATCGTTAAGCGGATTTTATGCATTTGTGACACAAAATAATATAATAAGTACATGGTTAATTATGCGGCCTTATGCGAAACGAAATAACGATATTATTATGTTAATCGTAAAATATATTCAACATACATACGTTATACTTATTTAATTTTTATTTATTATTGAAGAGCAAGAATGGTTCGTGATAAATCATATGTATATATCATATAAATGTAAATTTGTTGAATTGCTATACGTCATAAATGCATAGAATTCGCTGAATTCGTTCCTCAATAATAAATAAAAATGAAAAAAATATAATATACACATAACCACAGATTTATTCATGGAGTTAATTATAATAGATCGTTAATGGTACTAGTAGCCCTGATAGTAGGTACTAGTAGTATTAGAATTATTACTAACGAAGTTACTGCTAGGACTGTCGCTGTTAAACCTACTATTAAGTCTAGTATTTCGTGCCCAGGGGTTATTCAATTCGTAACGCTATAATTCTCCCGTGGGTCATAAATGGCCCCCAGTGTTTGACCCCCGTCGACCGCGAGAATTTTGGAACGCGCGACCGCGTCAAACGTCGGATTGGAAATCCGCGCAAACCACCGGCGAGTGTCGGAGTTCGCGTCCGTACATAAGTCACAATTAACGAAGGCGTTAAGTCGGCCCCCTATTAATAAGCGACGTCGAAGCATCCTATAAATAGCCACGGGCACGAGGTGACAACATTACGCAGCCACAGGCGAGATGGGAGCCTGTATGGGCGAACGCACACGTCGTTAAGATAAAAACACAATGCAATACGGCTGGCATCGGCAGGTCGCAGAAAAGAGCTGCCAGTGTTAAGTGCGACTATTTTCGCGTTGATGACACATCGCCGCTGATTGGACGGAATCGAGACTCTAAATAAAACCCCCTCGAATCCCCTAACGGACCTTTACGTCCTTGTCTGTCGCTCCTACGAGCCCCCATTCTCGCACCCTCAAGATTGGTAACCGTTTCGGGATAGTTTCTCCTATATATGTACACAGAGTGAGGTTGGTAACTCTAGGACTCTAAATAACTTTTAAACGAGAACAAAAATAATTCAGGTCCGAAAGGGTTAATCAATAGAGCGATAGAGTCGGGGGTTTGTTATATATTTTGTAGAATAAGCTCTCGATCATCTTCCTCCACCCCCCCCCCCTCTTCCCCTGGAGCAATAGCTTCGTAGCCGAGGGTTGTGGAGGATCGAGGCCTTGCTTATTTCGGACCATGATCTTTGATCGTTCTCGTTTCGGCTGGTGACAATGTTGTCATCTTCGTTTTAGGACTTGGAAAGCAAAGTCGACGATGATTCGTAATCACGGATTGATCCGAGCCTGTGCCTATTCGAGTCATTTACTCTTCGAAGGTAGCAGGAATAAACTTGTACTCTATTATTACTGTGGGAGCTATTCGAACGTTATTATGTTTCAACGATAATATGAACGTATTATAACATCAACTTTAACATAAATTAATAAGAAAGAATAGCCGAAAAGTAATCGTCAGTAATATCACAATTTTTATGTGACTGGCGGAATTAATCGATTTGTGCAGTGATTGCAAAGATAATGTTTCGGTTCAAAGATAATCTTCCCTCCTTTAATCAGTGTGTAGAATGTCATCCAGAAGAACGTCTTGTAGAACGTCTTGGGACGTTTTGTAGAACGTTTCGTGATACATTGTCGATGATTTCCATGAACGTGACAACGTTCCTCCGATGGCGAGGGGATCGGCTGGGTGCGTTCGGTAGCTCGGTTTATATTTATTGCATGCTCACCCGATCCGACGTGTCTCTCTGCAAGAAAAGGCGCGCGTGAGTCATGCAAGATGCCAATTGGGCGAGTGCCTCGATACGTGGACGATGCGAGTTGCACAATTGGAGGAACACCTGATCAACCGAGGCATCTTAGGGTTGCCGTCGATGAAACGCCTCCGAGGAACCTTAGAGGTTTCTTCGACTTCGATTTACCCTTGTTGCTATTCCATTCATTGCCATTGCAAACTTACTGTAACTCGCCAGGTCGTTGGGAAATCGTTCTGAAATATTCCGCTATAAAAATCATTGCGAACTCTCCTTTGTAATGTTCTCTATCTAGGTATCTTTGTATGTATCTATGGAATTTCTTACATACTATTCTTTTATGATATTTTGTATTGAATCCAGAAACTAACTCTGAATTATTCTCAATTAAATCAAAAAGGGGTCGATTTAATCCAACCAATACTGGAATGAAAAATATTCACAAATATTTAAAATATATATAGAAAATAAATGTAAAATTATGTTTAAAAGGTCTCCCATTTAACAAAACTAATTCATCAACAAAAGAACGCCGAGCATTGAACATAAACTTGAAATATTCATTGTTAAAATTGAAGTTATACCACGTAAAAGGAATCAGGCGTCTAAATCGCTTCTGCGAAGAAGTTCTCGGTAAAGTTTCATGATAGCCACGCGGAAAGCTAGAAAAGGAAAACGGTGGCGGACACGTGGGTGGAGGATGCGAGCCATTTAAGCGGATCCACGACGAGTCCGTGATCCGCTCTCGTTGGGTGTCTCTCCTCTCCGTTCCGAGCGGCGTGGATTCCGTAAAATCTCTTAAATCCACTGGTGGGTGTCGGATCCAGAGCGTGTACCGGGCAAATGAGGAAACGGCCAACTAGCCGAGTCATTTCCACCGTTTACCAGGGCCACTTTGCTCTATCCAAGCCGGTGGGAGTCTTCATTCCTGGCAATTATTAATTATTCGACTCGCCTTATCCGGATGTCTCCTTTGTCGTCGGTTTCTTCTATCGCGCGTTCTTTCTTTGGCTCCTCCCATCCCTCGACGGTATCATTTTCAACCCCTACGTTTTCTAGATCTCCTAAATCCAATACTCGCAATAGCAAAAGTAAATCGAGAAGCTTAAGTAGATCTGAAACCCAAGTAGCACTCTTTCGATCCATTCCAAAAATCCAGACATCTCTATAATCCTCGCACCCCCTAGTTCCAAGCCACCTACTCTCAATGAACAACCATTAATTTCACCAAAAAACAAATCGTAGACCAACGAAGCCAAATCTAGAAAGCTTACCGCATCCGCAACGAAACTTAATTCGACCTGAAACCCAAGGAAAGCCTCCCAAAAATCCAAACATCCCCAATACCACTCGCCCTCAATTCCAATTCCCACCCCCGACCCATCGATTTCCCAAAACCATCTCCAAAATAATCGACAAGGCGCCAACATGCCTGTACAAGCCTCCATGGCAATCAGGAACGGCATCGTCGCAGGTAAGCCAGGAATTGGCTGAACGTGTCGCGATATCGTCTATCCTAGGGCCGCCGCCATTCCATTTTGCGTTACCGCGCAAACATTGCAACGCGCGTTAACACGATGGCGACCTGGATAGCCCTGCTCGGTTCCGCGGATAAAGGGGTAGCAGAGAACTCGATCCAACGATTCCTCGCGACGGAATGTCGCCTTTTCTCTAGCCGCGACGCAAGACCAGTCCTCTCGGTGGATCACCGAGGACGATGGTTCTCGACGAGGCACGGGTTAATGGTACCAGTTTCACCGCATACGCACTCGTTACGAAAACAATCCGAAGGGACGTGTAACGGAGCGAGGTGGGGTCAGGCCTCGTAACGTTTCCTACATGTACGCGTCGAGTTCGTAGGGTCACTTACGAAAACTGGTCTTCTCTTACGACATTTGTAAACCTGTTTCGAAAAAAGATCGTCGATACTTGCTCGAGATCTGCGAAAACTTGAGCTTCGGATGGTGTCTTGAGGTGAAATGCGAGGATACTTTGGGCTCGCTTTGGGTAGAAGGTATCGGGGAGGATTAGGTGTAGGGATACGTTTGAATTCAAGTTTATATACTTTAAAGAATTGATACTTGGTTGAGATTCGGGAAAAGTGGAGCCTTGGATGGGGTCTTGGGATGAACTCCAGGATTACTTGGAACAGGTCGGAGTTTGAGGTATTAGGATCTGTTATGGAAAGTTCAGGTGTGGGTTCGCGTTTGAATTCAAGTTTAAATATCTTAAGTCAGTCCCAGAAATATTCTCACCCTTTACGTCTATCGAAGAAACTTGTATAAATTAAACGATAGACGCAACGTTCCCAAATAAATTCTCCTCTGTAAGTATATAAAGATCTAGAGTCTATTTATGTATACATTTCTAATGTATATGTATTGTTTTGGTTGCAGAGGCCTTGGGGACCGGAAGTTCGTCGTGGCACAGCGAGGATGGCGGGCCGAACTCGCGTCGCGGAGGAGAGACGCCATCGTCTTGCGCGACGCCAACGTCGGCCAGCTTCCCGTCGGAGCCTGAAGTCGACGCCGACGTCGGCGTCAACGCCGACGGCAACAACGCCACCGCGCCTTATCCTTGCCAATTCTGCGATCGAACTTTTCCACGGCTGAGTTACCTCAAGAAACACGAACAGGTAACCTGGTGACTATTATTATTAGACAGGGGGTGTTCACTCGGTTGGGTAATCGACGATCTACTTTTAATTACTCGAGAGTGGTTGGAATTAGTCCACCTTGCTCTCGTAAACGTCCTTACGGCTGTCCCTGGAAACGGTGAGAAGTTGACCGTGGTTCCAGGCGTGGAGGACGCGTGGCCGATTCGAATTTTTCTGTTTTGCATGGCGGTGGCATTAGAGACTCGCTCTTCCGCGTCCGAGCCGACGTTCACGGGTCATCTTCGGGTCAGAATCTGTACCGTGGCCCATAACAGGTTGTACCGGTCAGGTTGTTCGTCCAGGTGGTTCCCCGCCTTCCATCGGGTTCCTCGCGACTTTTCAGCCTCGATAAAAGCCGCTTCCACATACGCGTGCTGAATCGCGCAGATAACCGTTTCGATAACGGAGATAAATTTCGTTTCGGGGGATACGCGGTCTTCCTACTCCGCCACGTTTCTAACCAGGTGGAAGAAAACATATCTTCAAACATATTTGAAACCGGGACTTACATTCTTAGAGTCGGCATAAACAGATCAGGACTAGTAAGTATTAGAAGATTAGTGTTGTCAGGACTATGACGGAGGATCGTATTCGTAGGACTAGCGTTTGAAACGTATTCTACTAGAGTTAGAGTTAGGGTTAGAGATAATACTGCACCTAGTATCGGAGTCAGTCTTGCTACACTTAATATTCAAATTTGCTCGAGTCACTATTGAGTATTACATTTTGAACCCACCCTTCTCTCCATCGGTTAAAACAATAATGAATCGTATCCCTCACCAATCCTTGCTCCTCTACAATTGACACTGATCATCACCTATTCGGAAGAGCAAGACACTCGTATATACAATCCTCCTTGCTTTCTATGGTCCCCTCTGAATCCCACCACGAACTTTTCCCCGGGCATCGACGAGTCTTTCAGCTGTGGGGCCAAAGGTCTTCAGCGTCGGACGAGGAGGCGATCGCTTCGCCCTTCCGTCCGGATTGTCTCTTCAAAGGAGCCGACGAAACGGCTCGAAAGTCGTACGTGCCGAGCTTACTTGGTCGGACGAACACCGACTCGAAAAGAGAGCATTACGTCCAGCACGAAAAAGAAGAGCTGGACGAAGAGAATGACCCGGGCCCGTTCGCGATCATATCGGTCATAGTGATCTACCTGGGTGACAACCACCGCCGTTGCGTGGCGGGGGGAATTCCCAAGTTTCTTGCACGTCGATCCTTTTTCTCTCCATCTGACCAGGGAACCCAGCGAGCCGTCTGATTATTTTTGGACAGATTGGTGGTACCAGCAATCGAGTCATTGATCGTTGGTGTCTTTGATTACGTAATTGGAAAGTGGAAGGAGGATCGATAGCTTACTGGATAGGCTTGAAAGAGGAATTAAGAGGTACGGTGTTAAAGCTGATGTTACAATTAGTACCGGTAGAGCTATGGAAATATTAGAGGTAGTATTGGTGGCTACAATTGGAAATCTTAGTAGAGGAAATGTTGAGAAGCTAATAGTGGGTCTTGTATTATTAAACCTATGAATAAGCACGCGTACTTATTAGAGCAACTATGAGAGTCTATATTACATTTAGTATTAGGGTTAATATTGTTACAATTGATATCAAAATAATTATTTACTATCTTTGATACAAATTTTCTCTAACTATAACACGAATAACAACGCCCCAATCGCTGTTATAATGAATTTTATTGATATTAACGGTTATTTCCTTGAATGTTACAGAGTCACGGCGATCAAATGCCGTATCGATGCAGCTGGTGTGCCAGGTTGTTCAAGCACAAGCGCAGCAGAGATCGACACGTGAAGCTCCATACAGGAGATCGGAGATACCGGTGCACACACTGCGAAGCTGCCTTCTCAAGGAGGTAAGATGGCCCCTCTGAACTGTTATAACAGGATACTTGATAGGAAATTTTAACACAAATCGACCCGAGTATTCTATCGTTTCCAAACTTCTCAATACCACAGGAAAATTGAAGATCTTATCCACACATGTTAAAGCAGTTTGCAATTATTTTATTTTTGGAGGACTTAACGTTAGGTGAAGTGCTGAATATTTTCTTGACATGTGAACTCTTATAGGTAAATGCCAGGCGATGGCTAAAGATTCAGGAATGCTTATCAGGTGTCACTGTTTCCGACAAGTACACAAGTCCAATTATACGATTAGATATCTTAAAATCTTTGAGCACAGCGAACCCTTAAAACCTCCACAATCCAAGTCATAGCAAAAGTATACCCAAGCCAAGAATTCCTCCAGCGGAATCTTCTGACAGCCCCCTCGGACCTCGCCACTCGACGTCAACACAGTCGCAGAACCAAAGAAAAAAAAATAAAGAGAGATTCAGCGAGGTGTCCTCCCCAACGTGAAAGTTTATCCGTGCTCCGAGAGACCCGTTACCCCCCACGATACCCTGCGTCCACAAAAATCAATCATCCCGCGAGGGATCCCACGTTGCGGGCAAACAGGACGTGAAAGAGTCCTCCTGGTGGAACAGAAGACAGCGGGAAAGTGGAAATGAAACAGAGGGCCCCGATTCCGGGGGACCGATCCAACGGGTGACAAATGAATAATGATCACACGACGACCGCGGCCCCGACTGGCATTAGTCAAGCTTACTCTCTTACGTGACTCTTTCTTCCAGGTTCCCTCCCTCCCTCCTCGTCGGCCTCCCTTCGCCACGGCGACGACCTCCTTTCCTATCTTTATTCCTCCCTTTCTCGCGATCCGCGCATTGACTCGTCCGCTTATTGAAATGCTAAGCTGCCGCGGGGGCCCGCGAGGGTGGCGCGCGGGCTTTTTCGTGTTTAAGTGTCCGCGCATGCCCCGACCATGCGCAGGCTTCTCTGTTCGCGTGAATACACGCGCAGGGGCCCCGGGTCTCTCCGCGTCCAGGTGAGCCGGACAGGTAGGCGCATAGGTGTTACGGGACAACAGGTAGAACATTAGTCAAGTGCCTCGTTGTTGCTCCTCCGTCGTGGCTTGCGGGCTTACGGTCGCGCTCACGACTTTGGTTATCGACCAGAAACATATACAAGGTTCCATTTAAAAATATTTATTTAGCATGTCCTTCATCCACCAATTTCAGAGATTCTTTGTATTTATTGCAGAAATTTGTCTAACTTGAATGAATGCTTCGTGTTACGAAATAAACTTATTTCGGGACAACTTAATACGTTGTAATGGTCATCTAGTAAGAACTTAGGTTACATAATATATGTATAGATTTACTGTCATGTAAACCAGCTGGAGAACTTAGAAGGTTGGTTTTTTAATATATAATCATAAAATGACGAATAAATGTTTCTGTTTAAATTAAAATTATAAATAATTAAATGTAAAGGCATAGAATTGATTTTTACGTCTAATATATACAAAATTCTAGTCTTCCCCAATGGTATTCGGATTCGGTGATCAGAATTTTTGAAGGTTATAGTAATATCTAAGAATATAGTATTCAGTTCCCCGAAACGGTACTTTGTTAATGTAGAGAGAGAGAGAGAGAGAGAGAGCTGAGCGGAGTCCTAACACAGACCTTCGTCTGTCAGCCGTTATTACAATCGCATTGCTGGATCTTTACGCCACATCTCTATTCGTTCTCCCGTCTTGACAGTCGGCTTGGGTGACCCAACAAAAGGGTGAAAACCCCCGTGGTTCTCACATAGATCCGCAGCCACGGGAGATCCCGATGCGCGATCGAGATCGTCGACGATCGATCCGGTACGCTCGAGCCAATTGCTATTCCATCGCGAGAAAGGAAAGCAAAATTCCCAATTCCCAAATCGTTGAAAGTTATCCAGATCGAATAACCAGTTTCGCTGAATTCCATTATTCCGACCGCCTCGAATTTGTTTCATCTGTGCTTATATTTGGTTAACAGCTTCGTGTTCATTTATTATCGTTTTTCAAGCGTGTCAATCAGACAATTCGTAATGAGAAGTATAAGCAGAATAAGTCGTACCGAATTACCAACAATTGAAACACCTGGTGGTGAATTTGCGATTCGTTTCGTGTAACATGCTCACTTATCGCATATTCGCCAAATGCTACGTATATTTCACGAGACGGTGCTGCAGCCTTCGAACACAGTTTAAATTCATACAGCAAACAAGCCCAAATTACACCAGATTGCATGTACATTTTATAAGAGATCAAATGTAAATCCAAGGAGTACTTATTAAGTCAGGGTATTGACTGAAACTATTGCGAAACTTATGAGCAGCAAAGCAATACAACGTGAAGCAATTACAGAAGTACCCCGAGCTAAAATCACTTGCTTTTTTGATTACTTTCTATTTTTTAAATTAATAATGTTCGCATACTACTTTCGCTAATGTTTAAACTTTTGGAATTAGCAGTTTATAAACGTAAATATACATACGAGTTGTTTATGTGCACAATAGTCAAAGTCGAAAGCTAGAACACCGCGGAAATTCGTGAGAGATTTAGAAGAGATTCGTTGGGTGGAGTTTCTCCGCTCCATTTATTTCTATTTCCTCTTTCCCTGGCCACACGCAACACGGACCCTCCCCTGCGGGATAATGACTGGTCATTTTTTTCATTTACAAAACACTCCGCTGTGATTATCCGTAACTGGAATGTAGTTGATGGATTCCCCGCGAGATTCGTCCCCTTTACCTTTGGGCTTGTTTGCTCCACTCGTGACCACTCGTTTCTGTCACATCTACCAAACATACCTCCCAAATTACAAAAGATATTAAAAAACACTCGAAACGATACCTGCGCCGTTTCCTTCGGTCTGTCGATCGAAGCAAGCGCTACATTGGGTCTACGGAAACGAAAGGAATGAAAAACGTCGGGCGAAACGACAATTACTTCTCGATATTGCTCATCTTTTCTACTCCCTCTCCACTCCTCGGTGGACAGACGACACACGGGAAGCGATACACGCGATAATAGAACGTGGCCAGAGCTGACCGGCCGATAATCCTGGCGTATGAATAATTCAAGCGTAAAGTGCAAGAGCAAATTTGCCGTCTGTCTTCGTTTCTGGAAGCCCGAGACACTGACCAGTCGGACCAACGTGTGTGACCTCGCCTTATAACGGATTTAGTTTTCCACCAGTCGGTATGAATAATTCATCCGTCACGGTGATACGGGCATGTGAGAATTGTTGACCTATCGTATACGTATCGCGCGGCGCCCTTTATTTTTGCCAACCAGTTCTCGACGTCTCGCTTCCCACCTATCTGACGCGCGAGATCTCTGACAGCTTTCTGAAATTCCCCGTCGCCGGTGTCCCGCGCTGCTCCGCGTTGACGATTCAGTTTATTGCCTGAAATTGTAATGCCATTGATTTTTTTTACCGCGTTGGAGCTCTGCGAATCTCATTTACGCTCGCGAGGCTAACGTCCTAGCCGGCTCCTTGGTCTTGCGGTTAATGTTTAGATGTTTGGGAGTGGATAGGCAACCTTTCAACTCGTTGTGGAGCTTCGAAGACGATGTAAATTTAAATTTGACAGGGCATTAGTCTTTAGAATCGTCAGTTGATAAAACAGGTCACTTTGTTGGCAACGCGAGTAAGTAAATTTCCTATGGTAAACGTCTCCAAACGTCTGTAGTACACTCTGTCGATAGAACAGGTCACTTTGTTGGCAATGTAAGTAGGTGAAGTTCTCATGATAAGTCAGTCATACACTGCATTACCTCTTGGTAGAAGTGGATACATTTCCTTTGGGAAATCATTCATACGCGGCATTCCCTAAATATTTTTTCCTAAAAATTTTCAGGCTTTCAGGCAACAGTACAATTATATACTTTAGACTAACACTTTATTTAGTTTTTCTTGGTTACAGTCTCTCAGAGGTGAGCGTACCAAGTCGATTTATTCAAGAAATATCGTTTTGCACTTCTCAAGTTATATACGCTATTATAAACGCTAAACTGGTTAACTGTGTTAATCGAATATCCGGTCCTAGAATTGAAATGGAACGAAAATAGTTGTTGACAGTCCTGTGGCGACGGGAAAGGGTCTTAATTAAGATAGAATAATCGATGGACCAAATCCAGGTTACCAACGACAAGTAAAATTAGAATTTGGAAATGGTCTTGATCAATGTCTTTCAATGATCGATCAATGTATCCACAAATCTGAACAATGTTCCTCTCTGACCTCTCTAATATTTCTCTAATCTAATCTCTATTCATTCTTTCAGCGACCACCTGAAGATCCACATGAAGACTCACGACACCCAGAAGCCCTACCAATGCACAGCCTGTTCTCGAGGCTACAACACCGCAGCTGCATTAACGTCCCACATGCAGTCCCACAAGAAGCACCACCAGTCCCAAGGGGCTACCAAGCTGCAGGACGTGGACTATGGCAGACGAAGCGTCTCCTCGCACAGCACCTCCTCTCCTCCTGTTCCCAGTTCTCCGTCGCCGTCCTTAAACTTAACCCTAAATCCAAAAACAGGCCTAAAGAGCTCCCACGGGAGCGCCTCTACCACGCCGATCCTCACTTCACCCCTGAAGCTCGCCTGCATGTACTGCACCAGGGACTCGTTCAGCTGCATGCAGCAGCTGCAGATGCACGTGCACACGATGCACCAAGCGATCCTCAGCGGCGAGAACGTGACGGTGCCGCCGTCGCCTAGCAGGAGCAACGAGCAACTAGGCTACCAGCGCGACAAGTCGAATCATCAAGCGTCCTCCAAGGACCACGAGAGGAAGTACCAAGAGGACTCCGAGAGGTCCTTGGAGAAGGAGCACTACGAGAACGCCTTCACCTGCAACCAATGCACAATGAAGTTCTCCACGTTGAGCACTCTGAGGGACCATCTGGTCTCCATCCACAGAAACGACGGTTTCGGTTCTGCATTAATGATGTGTCCTCTTTGTGGGATTCCTTGCACCTCTGCGGCAGCCTACGCGGAGCACTACGTCCTCCAACACTGCGAGAACAGGCGGATGGGGCCACTAGAAGGTCGAGAGTTTATGGATAAGAATAATGGAAGTTATGGAGACTCGAAGAGCTGCAGAAACCAAAAGAGCAGGGAACAGACAATTTCTGAGCCTGCAGACCTCACCAGCAAGCATTCCAGGCCAACGGAGAGCAGTTACACCGCGGGTACTCTCCTCTGTGGTCAGTGTGGAGCTGCTTTGAAGGACTTCGAGTCCTTCAGGGAGCACCTGGCCAGGCATCTCCAAGCTGACCATAGGAACGACGCCATAAGGCATCCCTGCCCCAAGTGTGAAGCTGCTTTTCCAGATAGAGAGGAGATGCTGACGCACCTGACGAAGCATTACCTGGGTCAGGTCAGCAAAGAGTATGCCTGTGGGGCCTGCAAGAAGCTCTATCCCCATCCAGACCTTCTGCAGAGGCACTTGTTGGATAGCCACGCTCACCATCTCTACAGGTGCGCTCTCTGCAGAGACACCTTCGACTCCAGGGTGGCGATACAGGTACACTTCGCTGTGAAGCATAGTCAGGAGTGCAGGATATATCGCTGCAACGTCTGCACCGTTTCTAATAACGAGAACTCGCCCGGGAATGCGCCTGGGGAGGGAAGAAGCTTCTTCAGGAGCGAGGCTGAAATGGCTAGCCATGTCAGGAACGTCCACGCGCCACCCACGGTGTCTAATAGTAGCCCTGCGGCGAGGAGTCCTGCCTCCACGCCTGGGATGACGGGAAACTCTGGACCTAGATGTGTTTTCTGTGGGATCTGTTGTAACTCGGAACTGGAGCTGCAGTTGCATCTAGCCAGCCACTCGACTAGTCTCTACAGGTGCCCCATCTGCAGGGAGGGCTTTGCTGTTGAGTTCTTGTTGGATAGACACATCGCACAGGCGCATCATTCTGTCGAGCACCAAGCTAACACCAGGAGTAACTCCAGAGAGAATGGACGCATAGGAAGACTGCCTAGGTCGTCTCAAGAGGAGGTGTGTATTTGGATTGTAATGTTGTTGAATATTTTGTTCTAGATAATTGTAGTCTTAATGCTTTGCATCTCATTACAGCCAAAGTCCCAGAAGAGGGGTCGTTCTCCAGCCTCCAGCAACAACAACTCCTTGAATCAGCGGGACAACAACAACAAACGACCAAACTACACCAGCACAGCGGCTCAACAGTGCGAGCTGTGCGAAAGGGGGGAGTTCGCGAACGAGGCGGAACTCCAAGCCCACAAGAAGCTGGCCCACGCGTCAAAGCTGCAGAACAAGTCGCTCTCGAGCCTTAGCATGACTTGCGCTTACTGCGGCGAGGTGTGTCGTTCTCGGGCCGAGCTGGAGTCACATACGAGGATCCAGCACGCCTCGAACGAGCCTGGCGGACGCCACAAATGCAACATATGCGACGAGGTGTGTCCTTCAGGCCCGACGTTGGCCGAGCACAAGCTTCAGAAGCATTGCAAGATCCAATTAAGCGACACCTGTGTGGTCTGTCGCGGTAGCCTAGCGTCTGAATCGCAGTTCCTCGAGCACGTTCAGAGACACAGCCTGGAGACTGTGGACCCTCAACAGAGACTGGACGATTCCCTTCCTCATCTTCCAGCAGCGTGTGTCGTTTGCAGGCAAACGTTGATCAGCGACTTGGAGTGTCGGCTTCACGCCAGGTACCACCTCAGGGTCTCGCCTAGTTCCCACAGTTCCGCGTCCAGTCCCACTCCGAAGCAGAAGAGTCAGAGTCCTGGTTGCTGTCTCTGCTTAAGGGATTACTCCACTGACGACTTCGTCAGCTTACCTCCCAGTCACTTGAGCGGCGGAGGACAGTCTCTGAGAGTCTGCAAATCTTGCTACATTCGCCACTCTCAGGGACTCCCCATTCTGAACTCACCGTACGAGCACGCACGAACCAAGTGCGATAAAAGCTGGATCTCCAGCAAGGATTCGCAGTGGGACGGGTCCAGAGACAGGTGGGACGCCGAGCGTGTGTTCAAAGTGGAGGACAGGACGAACGAGGCGAACGATAGCAAGAGATGTCCGGACTGTGGGGTGAAGTTTGAGGACCCTGAGGAGGCGGAGAAGCATAGGCTCGCGGAACATAAGAAGATTGGATCTAGTTCGAACACCTACACCTGCATACAATGCCAGGTAATCGAAGATCTTAGTAAAGTCTTCTGAGATCATTTGCTAGAGTTTTAGATTGATTGGTCCCTCTCACAATTTTGTTAGGAAATTTCTTCTGCTCCTAGCGTACGACAAATAATCCAATCAGATTGTAGCTCCGCTTGCTAACGATCAGGGGCAGCTTTCTCGCCCCTAGTTGTAGGCAACCGGAACTACATCTCGACTCGTGGGTTGCCATTTACTAGGAGCAGAGAATATGCCCCTATAAAATGTTCTCTTCTAAATAGCGCGGTAGTCAAAGTGTTCAATGTCCTTAATCTTTATTCCATCTGTTTCAGATGTCGTTTCCAACGGAAGCTAAGATACAACAGCACGTCAGAAAGGAACACTTGGAGGCCTCGGGGAAGGCATCCATCGAGGCACTACGGTGTCATCTGTGTCTCTTTGAGGCTGGCAGTCCCTTGCAGTTGCAGAGCCACTTGATAGAGCACACTTTTGCTGGATGCGCTGCTCTCGGCTGTTACATCTGCCAGTCTCTCTTCACCGCGCCTATCGGTCTTCAGGTACTTAAGGATTATTTTTATTTTATTAGAATGTTATTTCTCCCGAAGACCTTGTACAGCTGACAGGTTTTATGAAGCTCTTTCCATCTTCCCGGTTTCAGAACCATATGCTCCAGGAGCACGGCTTAGGCGCTCGTCCGTACGATTGTTCTAAGTGCACCCTCAAGTTCTTCTTCAGAGCTGAGCTGGACCACCACGTGCTAACATTCCATCGTCCAGGAGAAGAAGCCTCTTCGCCTAACGGAAACGTGCAGAACGCCATCGAAACGAAAGCAAAGGACGCGGAGGACCATAATTGCGACGAGGGCATCACTGTGAAAGAGGAACTGGTGCTGCCAGACGCCGGCGACGAAGAGGAAGAGATCAACGTGGATGAACAAATGGAAAACGAGGACCGAGAGGATGACAATCAAACGGAAACGGACCAGAAACCGAAGGCAGAGATTCATGCAGAAACTGTCCCTGACAAGGAGGAATCGTGATTATCTTGAGAAGATAATTCAGAATTAGTTTGGATTGCTTGAAGGCACCAAGTACAAGCATTTGAGAGAATTAGGGTCGAGCCCGATGGAACTATGTATATACTCAATGCTAAAGTGCTTGATGAGTTGCAGGGGGTATTGTTAGGGCAGTAGCTCCATTTCATAGTTTTCTTTTTTTTTTTTATTCACAAAGACATTATGATTTAATAAATTGTAGAACTTGATGAAGAAGATAAAAGAGCGTTGTTGAAGCTGCGATCATGTATGTAGATAACTGTAAATACGTTTCTAATAGTTTCGTATCGTACTCTTTTTTTCCCTTTAAAATACTTACTTTTTTTTTTATTCTGTTAGTCATCGAGCAAAGCTTCTTACAAGAATAAAGAATATCGTCAGATTTTAAGGTAACGTTTCTACCTTGTTTCGATGACAGGAGTCTCTAGTAAGGCCTGCACGATATAATAATGATTTTGCTCGTTGGTCACTGCATAAAGTTTGCATCAGTGTCAAGGTAAATTCTTTGGTAATAACGATTTCACGCTTTGTTCATAGTTGATTTGAACATTAGAATAGTAGCAGTTTAATTGAATTTTCATTCAATTTTGATGGAGCCTTGTTTTTTTTTTATCTACTGTCCGTTATTGTTTCATAAAGATTCCTTTATAGTATACAGAGTATTGTGATAGAATGAGTTGAGAGCGTAAGGCAAAGAGTAACCATGATACTGGGGTTCGAAATTGTATTATAATTCGAAACACCAAATCCTTCGCATCTTAATATAAATATTAATAAAGCTGTATCGATTTTTGTACGTAAAACTTGATAATAGTTCTTCGAAATCGCCGTTAATTTTATTGTTCGCGTTAATATTTGAACACTACACGATGCGTTCATTCTGTTACGATACTATTTTATTCTATTTGAAAATGTAGGTATAAGTCGCAATGTTGAATACCATTGTCTCATAAACATCGTGTAAAACAAATAAAGTGAAGGTCAACATCTTATACATCGTCTAGTGCCCCGCTAGAACCAGGCCATCTTAATATCATCGTTATTTTATACAATAGCAAGGAGTGCTGTTTACAAAATGTTGATCGTTAACATTATTGCTTCGTGTACGATTACATTTATTTGTTAGAGTATATTCCGCGTGGGAGTCAATCTACCTGAACGAATTTGTAACATAAGAACATTAATTCTTATTAAAAAGAAAAAGAGAAAGACGTATCACTCGGTGATACGATTCTGTAAATACGTTGATTAGTATTAGAAAATATTACTCCACGCGTTTTAAGAATTTGTCTGTACCGTAAACGGTAACTATTTAAAGGAAGCAGATGCAATAACTTTGTCCACTAGGCTTAGCGACACGGTACGATAGTTCTTCATAAAATAAATTATTGTTTTAAATCGTCCAAGATCACCACGACTATTTATCCTTCCCCGTACTAGGAGTACGATCATTCCTCTGCTGTCTTTAAATAAATTTCGCTAAAATTCCAGATACCAAAATGTAAAATCGGGCGAAGTTTAGTTGTTGTCACCAAGTAAGCGCGGAGTATACTCCTATTAGATGGCAACTTAACCTAGCCAGCTTGTAGGCACGGTTGCTAAATTATAGGCGCAGAGGTCCCCTATTATGCGGCAACAAATACTAGCCTGTTTGTCGGTTCGGTTGTCATACCATAGGCGCACAGGTAAGTTTGGTGACAAAATTAAAAATTGTGCCACCTCTTCGAGTATCACGTCCTCGTGATACAAGAAGGTAAGTTACAAGTCATAATTAAAAATTGTGCCACCTCTTCACATATTATGTTCTCCTGATAGAAAAAGGTAAGTTGCGAGCCAGAATTCAAAATAAAAAAGTCATAATTAAAAAGGTAAGTTGCGAGCCAGAATTAAAAATAGTGCCACCTCTTCG